GTTAAGAGTCGTCTCTGCTCAGACAAATCTCCAGTCGACTGAATCAGGTTTCTTAATCCAGAGTCTAACCACGATCCCATTTTCTCAACAGATGCAAAATAGTGCAAAACTGCGCTCGAGGCTTCTGTTGACAGCTCACAGACAAATTTGAGAACTTTAATAAACTTAAGGATCTTTTCCAGTGATTCAAGTCTGGACAGGCTAGTCATTCTATCCCTTTTTAATGACAACAATTCCTCCTTTACGTGCCAGGCTGCAAGGAACTCCTGTACAGATTTATGAATGAAATAGGCCCCTTTCTCTGGATTCAGACTTGTAGTATTGACAGTCTGGAACAGCCCAACTTCACTCAATTTTTCAAAAGTTCTTGAAATACAATCGGGAAGTTCGCTGCAACGTACGAACAGACAGCCTTGTAGTAGTGCATCAAAGGCAAACTTTCCAAGAATACTGAGGTCTTCTCTAACTTCTGTTGAGGTCACTTTCTGAAATCGCACAGACTTTTCTTTTTCAACTTAGTGATTCAACATGGTTTGAATAAATTCTGTGTAAATGCCGGCCCGTGATGTTGGTAGTCCATCAAGAGGTGGATCATTCCACAAACGGCACAGCATCATCAGGAGGAGAGGTATTTCTGCCAGGTCTCTGAGAGCTTTTTCTGTCAGGTAGGCCGTGAACTTTACAACATCTTGCTCGCTTGTCAGAAATTTTCCTGCATAGGCTCTGATCTGTTTCCAATCTCTAAAACCATGAATTTCAAACTGAATGTGGCTAGGACCTGTTAACTCGTCACATTCAAGTTGTCGCGTGGTGACAATGACGTGACAATCTCTTAGTTGCTCGCCCCTCCATATTTCAAGGATAGGTGAGTGTTCTTTTACACAGCTGTACTCATCATAGCCATCCAAAACCAGAAGCACTTTATCTTGATTGTTAATTATGTAATCATGGAGACTATCAACTGCAATCGGACCATCACCGGCCAGCAGTTTAGACGCAACCAATACATCACGGATATGTTCCATGTCACACACATCTCGCAACTTAATCAGAAGGAAAATGTAAAATTTCATCAGGATTTCTTTTAAAGCTTTCGACCAGTCATACGCAATCTTTTTACAAAACGTACTCTTTCCAATTCCTGGCCGACCATAAACAAGCATTCGTGTTGGTTTGCGATGATGTTTATTTCCCTTGAACATGTCAGTGTAGTCTTCAAGTTCCTCTTGTCTAGCTCCACTGGGTGTCCTTTCATCTCTGACCCAAGACAAAGGTGTGTAGATCTCATCAATCGGAATGGATGAGCTGTCGTTCCATGGAACAGTTTTGACCTTACTGAAGGTGTCATA